AAACTCAACTGGAAATCAAAAAACTAATGCCGCCAGTTCTTTAATGTTCTTTCGGAAGTTACTGCAAAGATTAAAAATCCAATTCAGCTAAGGCTTCTAAAGATGTATGTGACAAGTTTAATCATTAGTTTGCAACAGTTGGGTCTCAATTAAATATAAAAAATTCAATCAAAAACGGAAATTAGCTCTAAACCAAAATCCTATGTTGCCCTCTCAAACCTATATTAATCATAAATTATTGAAATTAATTTTGTGTATGCAATTAGTTTGAAAACAATTAATTATGATTATTATTAAGTCATAAGGAAAAGCCGAAAAAAGTCGCGATCAAAACGAGCAAATCAGCACTTTACAGTGAAAAAAACGTTGTATTGATTCTGTTAAAGAATGGTGAAAAGCGGATTTCGAAATCAAATGAACAAGTGAAGCGAAACAGATCAGTGAAGTAGAGAATAAAACCACGGCAGACAGTCAGGCTGCAGATAGACGATAGAAATGATTTGTTGTGATACGAACACCGGTGGCCAGGATGTCAACGGGACGAGAAAGAGAATCAGAAAGCAGTCGGACGCTCTCAAAACAGCCAGGAGAGTCACAGTTGTCTTTGGATATTACGCCTTAGATGAGTTGACTAGCAGCGGAGAAGAAGCAATGAGAGCCATCACAGCATTCAATGGCAGAGCAAAAGAAAACGTAAATACGTGCAGTTTGTGTTGGCATACTTATAACACTGGAAAGGACAAAACTAACTGCCTTGACTTAAGAAGTCGGTGTTGCCGAACTCAAAAATTGTCATGAGATAACCGAAGAAGCGAGGTGCAAAGAGTTGACAGTGACGTCGTAAAAGCGATAGACTTACCCCCGCAAATTAGACTACACTCAGAAATGCTCAAATTTCCATGGGTTGATTCGTGGAAGGATGCAGCCGATGATTGACGCCAACCAAACATTGGTTAGCTTATGGAAAGCGACTTGTTAAATGTACTAAAAAAGTACTGGGAAGTTAAGTTTTCACAATTTCAAAAGTAGATCTTCTCAATAATCATAATGGCGAGTAAGATATGAAAAAAACCCCTTCATATGAAAAAAAATTTCTTTCAATCTGACAAGATCAAGAAAAATATTTTTTTTTTAAAACCCCGAATGAAAAAATTGTGCCAGAAGGATGTATATGGAAGCTAAGAGTAGCGGCCCACTGAATCCGATTGGTGTATGACAAACAGGATATAAGAAAAAACAACATGACGAAAAATTTTTCGAATTTCGAATGTCCTTTACCCAATGTTTTTTTCGTACGTATAGTAACAAACGAATTACATCATCGCAGTACACTTTATCATCTCCCTTCATCAAGACGATTTAAATTTTGGTGAAACTATCGAATTCTAGAAGAAACTCACTAAGGCGTTAGATCGAATCAAGTTCAGCCCAAGCCAAAACTTTTAAAACAGTTTGACAGTTGAGTGAGAGCAGAGGATAGTGTTACATTTACATTGACTCCAATTGAGAAGCCAGACGATGGCAAATCTCCTGAGATGTATTGCAAAAACTACACGAACATAAAAAACTATTGTTTTAATGGTTTATTTAAGATTAGAGTGGACTCTTTTCCACTTTAAATTTGTCAACCCTTTAAATACTAGTCCCATTATTTTCACTCATTCAAGATCTGATTCCTCTAAAAATGTCAAATATTTCTTTCACGGACTAATTTGTCGGATATCAAAAAGAAAGTGTGTCACCTTACAAGATGTCCAGTTAAATTGTCCTATCTTGAAAAGCAGATATTAAAGCGATAAGTACCCGTTCTTTTTGCAGCCTGACAAAGACACAAAAAATTAGAACACCTGCAAATCAAAGAGTGAATGCATGAAGCTTTTTAATATGTAAAAACTAATAAATTGAGACTACTGAAAACTTTCCAATCACCAGAAGATAAAACAGATATCCGATGAAACAAATTCTATGAAGACTAGAAAAAGACAAAAGTACTTGAAAGCATTCTTGCATTAAAACTGTACCGGTCTTAAAACTTCATTTCAGTCTAAAAACTTTTCCCGCTCTCATTTCCACTCGCTCAGTCAAATTAAAATTTTCCGGAAAGTTTTTGTTTTTTCTTTTGTTTCTTTTTATTTCTTATAAATTTACAAAGATAAGATCTTAAAATTTTCATAAGTTCCGGAAAAATAAAAGCAGCAACACGGAATTAGAAAAACTGATGGCCCAATACTCTGAGAGAAATTAGGTAGATAAATCCATCCGCAATCTAGACGCACACTACAGGCAAAATAACTGTTAGTTTAAGTGTATAAACAAGGTATTGACCCCATCCCTATTGTGATAAAAACTGTTGTTCTTTTTTTAAAATTTAATTATATTTAACTATCCATTATATAAATTCATACTCTTTTCCAACAATTGTGTCTGCTACCACTTTTTTCAAATTAATTGACGACTCATCTTTTGGTAAGATTCATAACATCAAATAATTCACCTCAATTCAGTTAGGAACGCATTAATCCGCTGCAATATCAACTCAGTTAAGAACGCATTAATATCCGCATTGAGCCAGCAAAATTAATCAGATGCTAAAAGTTTTTTGTCAAAACTGCATAGTTAAAAAGTCAAAAATTGACTGAATACAGAAACCTTAGTGCTAATTTTTCCGCGCTTCGGTCGATATATTCTAAGGATATAATAAAAAAGTTCTTAACCAAAGAAAATAAAATAACTCTTTTGAAATTATCTTTCGAAAACCATCCCCCTCACACAGATTAATTTTCAACGTGATATTTTAGTATATAGAAAAAAAACGGAAATAGTCCAATTTTCATGGTTTAATTCAAGTTGGAACTATTTCTGATGCGCAATAAATCTACGCACACGCGTTAATTGTACAAAATATGTCCTGGGCTAATGGATTCATAAAGTCAATTTTTAAACCCCCATTATTTCACGAAAATCATTTTTAAAATCTTGAAGTAATGTTTTAAAAAACTGATGAACTTCAGAAAAAAAAGAAAATGTTTCAAATATTTTTAAAAATTTTTTTAAAATCTATGAAGTGATGTTTTAAAAAACTGATGAAATTTAGAAAAAAATGAAAAAATTTCAAATATGTTTTGAGATTTTTGTTGAAAATCATCACCCACATGCTATTTAATGCACGACCTGAAACAGTTTGCCTTAAAAATGTATAAGTATAGAACAGTTTTCAAAGCGGATTAAATCTCTGCTGATGCGTTAATGTCTCCAACTTGAAAAATTTTAAGCCCCCATAATTTAAAATAATGATCACATATAAAAAGAGCTCAAAGCATTTTTGTTTTTCGAATAGTTTTTGAAAATCGTCCAATTTTGCTAGATAAGAAGTCAATATTTTTCGGGGTAAAGAACCACCCTGAGCACAAATTTTGCGTCACTTTTTCTGAAAGTCTGAACAACAACCATATGTTTTATAGTTCCGACTTTCAAAAAAGTAACAAAAATATATTCTCGGGATGGTGTCTTTATTCAGAGCAACTTTACAAGAATTTTTGCTCTCTTTTGGGATCAATCCCTGAAATTGCTTTACCCCACCGGGTGTGAACAACGCCAGAGTAACCTCACAACACTCTGCCAAAACTGCTCGTTTTATAGTTTGATGATCATACAGTAACGTCAATTATTAACGCGTAGCGAATGTAGTCGCTTAACAAAATCGTTACAAAGTGAATTGAGGCAGGCTAATTGATCTTTTTAATTCCATGCACGAATCAAATTTTTTAACAATTGAATTTTGACTTTACCAGCCTAGAATTCATAGTTTGTTATAAGTTGGTTTACCAAAAACTATTCGAGACCAGTTAAAAGGCAGTCGGAAAATTCACGGTTTTGCACTGATACGGGTAGTCTTGTATCTTATTTCCTTAATGTAAACTTTGAGATCCATATTTTTTTCCACATGTGGGGGAATTTGATTGCATAACATATGCCCAGACGAACAAACTAAAGAAAGTTGAAATCCTGCGAAATATTGAAAATGGTGTGCTATAAAAAAGAACAGTTGCTATTTAAACTTTATTGAATCGAACTACAGTTTTCCCTAATATTGGATTAACACTTATCCATTTAAAGGGGAAGCTTAACCACGAGGAGAAAATGGACGTTTTTAAATATGCTATTTTGTTAAAGGACTTTGTTGATATTGCTCTAGAACATGATGCGAAAGGTTTTAAGGATCATCGATTGCAATATCAACAATGTCGTTTAACAAAAAGGCATCTTTAGTAACGTTCTTTTTCTCGTGGTTATGCTAGGCCTTACCCCACCAAATCCTAAGGTCATTTAAAGTAAAACAAGACTTCAAAACAGATAGCCAATAAGATAATCAAGCAACACAAGGTGGAAAATTGAACTAAGTATCAAGAAACATCGAACTATATTTCATTGGACGAAAAACTCTCGACTCGCTCTCATTAGTAGCTTTAAGGGTCAGTAAGGGGGAGATGGTTGGCTATCGGATACCAGCTATTATCACGATTTGACTTTCATCTCATTTTGCGACATCTAGTTTAGTTAATCAGCCCAAATATAGAACAATATTGAGGGGTGGAGGAGACGGAAAAAACCATGCAGAAAAACTTTCGAAAACAGCCAGTAGCGTGCCGAGGGGGCTGTTTTCGAGAGTTTGCCTAGTTTGCCAATTTTGCCAAGTTTGGCAAGTTTGCCAAGTCCCTCCCCCTTTCTCGATTCTGGCTGCCAAAATTTTCCGAAGGGAAATCTTACGACATCTATTTTTGAGAGCTCGGAAAATCAAATTGGTTGAAAAAAAGGTCATCGATTTTTCGAACCTCAGGAAAAATCGAACCTCTGAGAAAATGTTTCGAACCTCGTCACTGAAAAAGTTTCTGCGCACGCCACTGAAACCCGCATTTCAGTATTTACTTTAAAAAATTTAGAGGAGTCAACTTTGGCAAAATATATAGAAAAATAGATTTTGGCAAATGATAAAAACTAACCTTCCAGTTGATATCCGCAAAAATCAATTTCTGTTGTGTTTTAATTTCCCACCATGACATCAATTTTTTTGAAGGGTTAGCGAAGGTAATTCAAAAGCAAATATGTAAAAAGCAAGGCAATCGGAGATTGCTTTTTAACAAAAATAGTTAGTGAAGAGCAAAACAAGAGCTTGCTGCTTTTTAAATTGATGCTCACTGAACACCTGAACAAACACTCAAAAATAAAAGCAAACAATATCGCGCGGACTTATAGGCTCAAAAATCATTTTTCTGCAGTTGGTATACCTCTTAAAGAAACATCAAAAATCAGTGCAAACATGGTTTAAATAATGAAAAGCTCCTTCAACGCTTAAATTGTTGCAAATTAGTTTGTAATGAACCCAGCTTTTTTTGAGCTGAGTGATCCTAAAAGTAGTTAATAGGGCGTTTAAAAATCAACAATTTCTTTAATTTTTTCCTTTGAAAACCAAAAGACCGACGACCGCAAAATAGACTGACTAAAATTTATCGAAAGGATAAGTTATCACTTACAATGTGCATTAAAATACTGCAAGGCCAGAATTTGGATTTAACGAGTTTCAAAATGACTGGTAAGCAATATAGAGAAAAGTATATATATAGATATGGTGGGAAAAGAGTGAAATAATTTTTTAATATTACCGTGTTGTCGATGACATCAATGAAATTAAATAATTTAAATCAGTTCCGCTTTGATTTTTTGTTACTTTTTGATTTTAAACAGTTCATGAATCAATCGAAGTACATTTTTAATGAAATTTTTTAGAAGTTTTGCTAAGAAGCATTCAAATTTGGAATAAGGCAAAATCGATTTTGAAGGAAAAACAGCCAAAAAAGACCGTCAAAAGGTGAAAGCAAAAATTGAGCATAAAAGTGGTTTTTGAAACGTTCCATGATTTTCAAGCAAAAACGTCCTGTTTGAGGACATAAAAATATAATATTGTAATAAGGCCAAAATTTAACAGACTTGAAATAAAAAATAATGATACTGAGTAAAAAGTGATGAATAGCTGGCAATATTCAAAAATTGTAGCAGAAAAATTGTATATTCATCATCAAACGGTTCATTTTTCTCGATTTATAGCTTCAAGTCTTCGTATCAGTAACAAAATGCCACAAGATTACTTCAAGTTCTTTAAAAATCGGTTCTTCAAAAGAGCTCAAAACAACTCATTGTAGAGCTGTAATGAACACAAAATCTACAACAATTTGAAGAGCTCTTTTCTAATTTTGAAAATTTATGAATACACTATGCTTTTGATAACAGTCTACTGGTTCTTGAAAATAGCATGAAGATTGTTAAAAAATACTTTATTAAGAGACCTAATGCCGACAGAAACAGAGAAGATTTTTCTTAACAAAAGTCTAAGCAGCTCTTACTTTTAAGAAACCCATAATCGGCGATATCAGCATAAACCTCGATATCTACCCGAAAAATTACTGAAATGCTTCATTATTACTAATAAATAATAAGGCGTCATAAATACTAATAGCATGAGCGTCATAGTTATATTATTCGACTTCGTAATTAAGCAACGGTGGCCAATTTTTTCGCAGTAATTAATCTAAACAACGCAATTTTTCAAACCATTTTTTTAAACGGAAATTAACATTGAAAGGTTTTGTTTTTAATTCAAATCAAGGCTAGAAATAGAAAGGCTTTAATATGATAAAACACTTCCTTTCCTCATCAAAAGGAAAGGATTTTTTGTCAAAAAGCCCACCCACATCATAATTCCGTCACACTTTTTCGACAATTCTGGAATCTGAATATCCGTTTCAAAAATCGCAATACTTATATAGAAAGTGGTATGTCAGAAATTTGATATTCGAAACAAAGCAAGACTACTCGGCTCAGAGCGAAGTCTTGAACGTTCGACTGCCCTTTGAAGTCAATGAAAATTTCTTTTAATACTGTTTATTAATTTTTTTTTATAAATGAAAGAGTAGCAATTATTTGGCAAATTTTTTCGTATGCTCTATAGAGTAAAATTGAGTTAATTTAAATTTAGAGGAATGCCTTCAGAGCAAATTGTCTGCCCCAGATCAAATTGGGCTGACTAAAATTGCCCTTACGCTTTGATATGACGAAATACATCAAGCTTTAATGAACCCAATTTGAATTAGCGTCGTCAATTTAGTCCAAATCTTGAACCCTTATAACTTTCAAGCCCCTTTAAATAAACAATCAGAGGTGACATGTATTTTTAATTTTCCACCGTGAGCGTCTCGTTTGAACCAAAAAGTACCATAAAACGCTAGTGAACAACTCGAAATTTGGCGGGAGAAAAGCACGAAGGTAACAAATTTTGCGAGCTTCGAAAGTTTTCGATGGTAGTATTGCGCCGATAATAAGAGACACTTCGGTTTCCGCCGTTATCAAAATCGGTCAAAATCAATTTTAAGTGCCAGGATTTTTTTCTTTCGCCCATCTATCCTTTCTGGGACTTAAACTTAAATTGTTTTGTGCATCAAGTAATATCGAAAAAAAATCTGCGCTTGGATGGTACAAGTAACTAAAAAAAAGCTTTTCAACTGGAATAATAAACTCAAACTTTATTAAAACTCAATTTTAAACTCGGGATTGATTTCTTCTCAAGACTTTTTTTGGCTAACGAAATCATAAATTATCAAAAAACTTTCATTCCAATTGAAAAAAGGCACGCCTAAATCAATTTTTCAACAGCTAGCCAAATGCTACAAGTGTAGCTCAGACTATGGCGAATTCGCTTATTATTGCCTTAGCAAAAAATAATTCGAAATTTTTCAAAAAAAATAGAATTTTTCAAAACAAATGGAGGCGATCGAAACACTTTAAGATAGAAAGAAAAACACAAAATTTACACAAGGAACTAAGCTAGTCGCAAATATCAGAGGAAAAATCAACTTTATTGCCTGAAGCAACTTTAGAAAAATTTATAAACGAAGGGCTACTATCCATTGTTAATGCTGAAAATTTTTATTGGAATAATTTGGTGAAACCTATTTCATAACCTAACATATTAACCCAGAACTAGTGTTCGACTGAACTTTGCAATTATTACAGTTGAGGCAATGCTCTTGCCGTCAAACAGACCAATAAGCTTAAATCAGCGCTTTTAAAAAAAGCCAACGACCATCATTGTGAAACTTAGCATCGACTGACTATATGTCAAATGTGAAATATTTTGAAATGACGGGTCCAATCAAATTTTTAAATGGGGTCATTAGTGGAACCTGATCTAAACTACATTTTATTATTGGATAAATTAGATATTTTATCACTATAAAATATTAAATAATAACCAATCAGCTTCCATCAAACTAACAACCCACTTATTTGTAAGTGCTGAAATTACTTGTAATTTCAACACCAGAGAGATTTGAATTTAACTTAGAAACTAGTTACCTCTCCAAGAGAACTTCAGCAGTCGCAATAAACCAGTATACTCTAGATCTATTGAGCCTAGCAGAGACTAGTTAAACACCCTGAGACTAGTAGATATAAGAGTAAGATTATGATCGGTATTAGACTAAGAAGTTGCACGAATCTATCCGGCCGAAAATAAGATAGCGTGACGAGCAGACGGTGTACTCTATCCGAAATTACTTTATGAGTTATAAACCATACAACTTAACTCATCTGGTGCGACCATAAGTCTCGAATAAAGACCTTAAAAACAAAATAGCTTAGAATTAACCAAAAAATAGATTAGAAAATAGACAAAACATTTTCAAAATGTTACATGACAATAACTTAATTGAAATGTCTCTACGACTCAATAGATCAGAGCCGCTATTCCGCACAATACGAGATTTACCCGGTATTGGAAAAAAACCTCGGACAAGAGACGACGTACGACTACATAGAAACTTACCATTAAGTTTCATGGTCGTACGGCAAAAGCCAACACAAACTTTTATATTTAAAATCTTACTAGCAATGAATTTATATTTTCACCTGCAAACATAAAATCCTTGAAGCAAATCTTCAATGATTATTTCAGGCGCTAGATAAAATTACTATTGTACAATAACGATTGATAAAAAGATCTCAAATCGTTCCCTCCAATTCTGCAGTAATATATGAAACATATTTGAAAAAATATTTATTGAAAACAAAAATAAAAATTAGTAGCATGACAATAAATTGTTAGTATATATAAATCATTCTGTTGTTCCAGTTTCATCACCTAAACATAACAGCAATCATAAATCAACTAATATCATCAAAAACTAAAACCTTTTACAAATAAAATTAAATTATTTTAAACTTAATTTTATTTAATCTTAATCCAGATCATCAAGGCTTTCCTTGGATCTAAATCAATTTTCTATCTTCTAAATTTTAATTTCTGATCATCAAGGCTTATCCTTGGATCAAAAAGAACAATTTTGTTCTCCCCCACCCAATTATCAAGTGTCTAACGACTTCAAACGTCGATTCACTACCCAACCTTTTCAAAATACCCAGGACTAATAGAAATTTTTAATCACGCTAACCATTCAAATTAGGCTGAACAGTGAAGAACTTCGGTTAATCATCCTTCACTTGAAACCTCCTCTTACCTGACCCAGGATAAATCTTAAACTTAGTAAGTTTAAAATAGTATCTAACGACCTGCTTGCGTTCTAATTATACCTGAACCTTGTGGATCGATTTACTATTCTCCAACCCTTGAACACAATCACTACCCCTAAGTAAGATTAAGTAAGTTAACACCTTAACTTAGACTAGCCACGAGAAAGTAAAAATCATTCTTCGGAATCGATATACTTTTCTCTCCAACCCTTAACAAAAAGACCCAGGTTAAGCTAACCAAAAAATCGTAACGACTAATAGTCTAGGAAAATTAAAATCACTAATAACTTCTCGCATCCCTCATCCTAAACCTTATGTCATTGGAAAATTTAGGAAATAAACAAACAATCGTATTACACAATTGTGAAATAGACAACCAAAAATACGATCTTGTAATAACCTCGCATACACAAACAATTGGATACACTCGAACAAAACGACAAACAAAAAAAAAGAAAAATTATAAGTAAGCAAAAAAAGATAACACGAAAAAGTTTTTCAAAAAATAGAAATGCTTCTCCGAATCAGTAGTCAGTAGTCTAGACGCACTATACAAATTAAAAGAATCAGTAAATAAAAATTGCCCAATCCATAATCAGTAAA